TATCTCTTGGTGGTCTCGAAAACAAGCTTGTGTTGCTAGATCATCAGCTGAAGCTGAATATAGGAGTCTTGCTGATACTACTGCAGAAATTCTTTGGATCCAATCACTTCTTCAGGAAATTCAAGTCTCACATCATGTTCCCAGAATCTACTGTGATAACCTAAGCACTGTCAGCCTAGCTCATAATCCTGTGCTACATTCCCGCATCAAACATATGGAACTTGATCTGTACTTTGTTCGTGAAAGAGTTCACCTCAAGCAACTGGAAGTTTTTCATATTCCTGCTGCACTTCAGATTGCTGATGTTCTTACCAAACCACTTCCCAGTTCTAGGTTTATTGAATTAAGAGACAAACTGAGTGTTACTGACCTCAGTTGGAGGGGGGAATGTTAGTAATATACGAATTATGTTAAGATGAGCTGGCACTTTGTTAGTTAGTTAGAGTCTTGTTAGACAAGTTTGTTAAGACTCAACTAAACTTAGCTAGGGTCATTCTGTATAAATACTGATGTAACTTTCCTCTTTCATTAATGAGAATTCTATTCTTCTTCTTTATTATCAATCTCAGTTCTGTTTCTAATAAGTTGCACTGCCGCAACATTATAATTTTTTTCGAAATGAAATTTGTGAACAAGTATGTAATGAAAATTACAATGACTATATCATCAGATCAGTACAATGTAAGTTTGAACATCATCATATCACTACTAAACCCAAATTCGAAAACTGATCTTGGCCTGCCTCAAAAGATGTTACTGGTCCGGGTTTTTTCATTTTAGACAACTCGTATAATTAGTAAATTTCCCGTACCAAACCTGATAGTTCGGGCTCACTCATGGTCTCTGAATTCTATAACCCAGCCCAGATCGGTAAAACCCTGAAACTATTACCTATTTACTTTTAATATAAAATCAATATAATATTTTATTATATGATTAAACTAATCATGGTGGATGAAAAAGTAAAAAGTGACTTAGTAACTTTTAATGACTACAACTATGTTCAATTTGTAAATCGTACTGACCATGATAATATAATCATAATAATTAGTTACATTTTTATTCATATATTTTGTTGAGTAATTTTTTGAAAAACCCTCTATTATTTATTTATCATGTATCTTAAACACAAGTTAATTAATGTAAATGGTTACATGGTGAACGAGTAAGCCAGATTAAGAGTTACGAAAGGGGAGGAAGATGCCACTCTTACTACAAGCCTTGAACATGTGAATGTGCTTTGAGTTATTGGAATTTGCACCGAAACCGGGAGAAATATGCTTATGTGATTCAACTTGTATGATAAGCATCAATTATTGATTCATCAATACACTTCCGCTATATATTGATTTGTCAAACGCTCCACATTAAACTTCCCCATTAATTATACTAGTATAGCCTCCGTGCGATGCACGGTGTGTGAGTGTTTTTTTTTTTTAAAATTGAGTGGTTGTTATAAGAAATCTAAGGTAATATGAGATTGTTAAATAACTTCAAAGTGTGAAATAAACATAATAGTTCGACAGTACAACGCGAGTTAATGCTGTGACAAAAATGGCATAATGAGTACTAAATGTTGTTTAATATAATCAAGATTGTATGTTTCTTCTAAAAAAAGATTGTATGTTACAAAACACCGGATATACCACATTGGTGGTCTCTTCCAGAGGTCTTTCATCTTCGCCTTAAATAAGTATTTCAATATGAAAACGATTTGTAGACCTTGAGATAATGATGAATAATTGTCCATGGTTGATAGCATTTTTTAATATTTTATATTGTTGCATTTGAAATCTAAGAAGGAACTCTAACGTTGATAATTTAAAGAGATCTTTGGCATTAAAACTTTTTACCTACACTCATGCAAATTAGAATTTCGTCATGTCACTCATCTATTAACATTTTTCACATATCTAATCATTTAAGCCTTGGCAAAAGGTGTACCATTCTTTATGGGGGAAAGGTCAATAATAATCTCCTAGTATAGCACCTGTGTAATACATGGTGGGTGATTTAATTTCTAAAATGCATGTCAATGTGAAAATGGAACGTAATATGACTATAAAAAGTAAATAGCTCATCGATCTACCAAAGATGTCTATCGTCAGGTTATCACATGTATTGGTTCAAATATGTTTTTGTTCATGCATGATGAGTTCGAACACTATTTTTTATAAAATAAATTTTATAATTTTTAGAATACACGAAAATGTACAGTATGTTTCTTAGATTTGTTATAATAGGTTAATCCAGAGCGTTTGGGGACCTGTGATTCACTAACTGCTACTCCGTATTTAAAAAATGCATTTTGGGGCATGAAATTCACTAACTACTATTTAAAAAATAAAATAAAATGGAATAAAAATTGAGAAGTAGTCTCAGCGGAAGGCTTTCATCTGATTTTTTTATTTGCGTTTTTCTTAAATGTATGGACATGTTTTCAAAATTGGTGAATACATGCTTGATTCCTGACACACACAGTTGACAAAGGTGATTTTTGTTCAAACCCGAAAGTCACCTATTTAGGAGTGGTAAGTGTCGGGGAACACTTATCTAATTTAGAGCCCATTTGGTGACCCTGTTTTTCGCCTTATCAAGCTTATCAGACAACTTTTTCACCAAACACGTAAATCTTGATCTACGCGTTAATTGTGTAATAATAAGAAAACATAAGGTTGAAGTTACATTTCTGGCTTTATTTGTTGAAGTTACTGTAGAGAATCATTTTAGTTATTTTTCATATAAATTTTTATTTTTTTAATTAAAAATTTATATTTTAAATACATTTTTTCATAAATCATCAGAATTAGCCAATACAACCACTTCAGACAGAATTTCATAAATTTCAGCATAATCAGCCAATTCAGCTGATTTTAGTATTAGCAAATGGGGTCTTATTAAGTAGAGTTGATATGCAGGAGTTGGGCTAGTCTCAAACCAAACCCCATAAGTAAAAAGGAGAAAGAAGCTTGTTGCAAAGATGGGCCTAGTGTGATCCAAAGTAGTCCAAGGTCCAAGAGAGAGTGTGGCCCGCTGGAACATAATAAAGACAAATCCAAGGAATAAAAGTGTCGGCCAGATTTGTAACCCTAACGTTCTTTTCATTTCGCACATCAATAGAGAGGAGGGGTCGAGAAAGTTCTGGCCGGTGTGAGGATCTCATTCTTCGTCCCAAAAGGGGATGTTGGATCCGGTCGGCGTATAACAGATATGAATCACTGTGCTTCGCTGATCGCTGGCTGGGGAGGTTTATCTCCTTTATGAGCTTCGTCATTCGTTCGCTCTGGAGGTCGTTGTGGTTCAATTCATGGTCGAATCTGCTGCTGGTGTGAGGTGAGTTTTTTTGTCCCTTTTGCTTTGTGATTTGGATGTTTTGATTTCGCACCAGTTTGATTAAAAGCATTTGTGGTTGTGTGCATGTTGACTGGACTTTTTTTCTTTCGCTAGGATGTGTCGCTTATGGTTGTCTGTGATGTATGATGGAATTTGAACGTGTTCATTCCGGATTCAAGCTTTCGAGTTTGTGTTGCTTCTCCCTGTCTCGGCGATGCTCGCTTTGGGAATGGAAGATAAATTTGCTTCTCTTTTCCTTTCTCTCTTTTGTGCTTTATTTTCGAACAATGACATCAAACCCTCTAGATCAGATGTAATTCTTTTTCGAATTGCATGAAGCTTTTTTTCTTGTTGCTGTAGCACCATTTTGTTGAATATGACAAAGGTGATTTCTAAATGAAGACGATTATAAATTTGATGCATAGTATAAGATTATATTCCCAAGACTATATTTGTACAATCTCAAATTCAATTATTCAGGTAAAAATCTTACGAAGTAGGTTATATTATGCCCTACTCCAACAAACAGTTCACAATTCACATTATATTATTGGAAACTGTTTTTACTGAACCTGTGGGTTTTCAAAGCCTCTTGAGATCCTTCTAAAAGGCCATACAAATAGTTGTATCTCTCAATTAAATACCTATATGGCTGTAACTATATTTTAATTAAAGCAAGTGGTAATACCACATACTGAGTATTCTATGAAGTGTTAATACAGTTGTGTTTATTGCTTTTTTTAAGGATTGATATTCTGTTGAAAGAGCTTATGATATAGAGTTGTTATGACTTTTAACTTGATGTCCACATTCGATTTGGCAATTTAAAATTATCTCATACATAGTATCTCCCAAAATTTGCTAATTTCATTTGGATATTTGATTTCATTCTAGCTTACTACTTTCACAACCAAATGCAACAAATGCATTTTAACATTTTGCTAGCTTGCATTCATTTTAACCACTCTCCCTTTAAGCTGATCGTATATATGGTGATTTGGAGAGGAAACTTTTAACAAATATCATGAATATCTATTCACTTTTCTTGCAGGTTCTTTATTGTTTTTGAAAATGGTAATAATCTTCATGTGATAAGAGCATTTGATGGGCACGTGGCATGTGATGTAAGTAAAAGAGGCTTCCCTTTATAAGGGGGTGAAAATTACGGGGGTGAAGCCCCATACCCGTAATTCTGAATGAAGGAGACGATGGATTTATAGCCCATGTCACTATCAGCCGTGGAAGACAACCCCCTTATTAGCACGAGCTTTGACTAATTCTGCTTCATCTCCTATCTTGGTTTTCTCTAGTCATTTTATTTAATTAATTTATTTTAATTAATTTCCTTTATTTTCCGAAACACACCCAATACGTACAACAACAATAGATCATACGGCGGCAGTGGCCATTAGTCGACTGTAGTGGATGGGGCCTGGGCCGGGGGCTGGAAAAACTGCAATGCTATATTTGCCAAAACACACATAATTACTCCTGTTTAGAACATTTAAAATAGTAGGCTCATATTTTTGTATTGCTTACGTTTTACATTTATTTGGAGAGTTCACTGGTCACCGGATATTATAAGTCATATTTTGAACTATTGAAGCACACAGTTTAAGTTACTCCGTATTATATATTTTCTCTACTTTGAAGTCAAGAGAGTTTTACGGATACATCATATCCAAGAATATGGCTTCCAAATCAATATTGGTCTTCTTCATGATCATCACCATCTTCATACTTGGGATTAAAGGGCAAAGCTCGAAAAGCTCACAAGGATGGATAAGAGCTGGTTACTGGGAGTCTCTAGGTCCCCTCCCTGTCCACGAGATAAACTCCCCTCTCTTCACTCATCTCTTCTACGGTTTCGCTTTCGTAAACCCAACCACCTTCCAACTCTTCTTCAACTCGTCAAACAAACAATCCTTCATCGACTTCACCGCCACCGTAAAGCGCAGAAACCCATCCATCATCACCATTCTCTCCGTCTGGTTTGCAAGAAACGAAGCGAAAGACTTTTGGTCAATGGTCAAAGACACATCACATAGAAAATCCTTCATAGAGTCTTCTCTGAAAACCGCCCGGCTTTACGGCTTCCATGGCCTCGACCTCTTCGGGGTCATGCCGCCGCCGGAAAACGGCAGCAGCGCCGCCGACATGGCGTCTTTCTTGGACGAGTGGCGAGCCGAGGTAGTCTCCGAGGGGGCCGGGAAAGAGCAGCTGTTGCTGACCATGCTGGCTCACCACAAGCCGGCGGTCAATGAGTCATCCGGGAGTTACCCCGTTGACTCTATGAAGAGAAGCTTGGATTGGATAAGCATCCAAGCGTTTGACTATTACGTGCCGACAGTTGACCGGTTGACCGGCTTCCATGCAGCTTTATATTCCCCTGATCATAAGGGCAGTCGTCCTAATTCATCATCAAGAATGGCTAACACCGATGATGGTTTGAGGGCATGGCTTTCGGTAGGGTATAGTCCTGGGAAAATGGTTTTGGGGTTGCCCTACCATGGGTATATTTGGACCCTTGACTCGAATGACAGTGACATTGGTTCACCAGCTTGGGGGTTGTCTTCCACGGCTGATAGTGACATGGGCTATAAATCCATCGTCTCCTTCATTCAGAATTACGGGTATGGGGCTAAACCGGTGTATAATTCGAGTTATGTGGCCAACTCTTTCACACTGGGGGACACGTGGATCAACTATGATGACGTGGATGCCGTTCAAACTAAGGTTTCCTATGCCAAGTCTAAGGGTCTCCTTGGTTACAACGCGTTTCAAATCGCCAACGATTATAATTGGGCCCTTTCTCAAGCCGCCGGTACGTACTATACTCCTTGAACCGTGCTAGGAATTGAATGTATTTTTTTTTAGGGAAAATGACTTATTTGACCTTTTTAAGTAACAACATAAGTATCATAAAAACATAATTTAAAGACTTGTCTCAGGAACATCTTGAAGCAAGATCATGAATAATTGCTTCATAATCAATCTCTTTCAAGATTCCATGTTAAATACTTAAAGTTGCTACCATTAAGCTTAATTATTAGGAGGTACATGATGCCAAAAGAATAGTATAAATTGATAACTTTGTAATTAAAAGAAATAAAGTGTCTTAAAGGCTAAAAAGATGTGATGAGGCGTGCCTTTATTAATTATGCTACAACCGGCTCAATTTAAAATTTTAAATTAAATCTATATTCTTTTTTACACTTTTTTGAGCGGCTCTGATAAAAAATTTCTACTTATGTTTTAACATTTTCAAATTATCAACATAAAATTAAACATTAGACCTAATTAATTGAATTTAAAAATAGAAGAGAAACCTGCTTGAGACACTGATATATAAAGCAAAAAAATTAGGGCCGGCCCTCCTCCCAATAGTTGATAAAGTCTTACTCCGTATTTTATTTAATTTTATTTTCCGTCCCTTTAATCTCACCTCTATTTCGTTTCAAATATTACACTTTCTAGGAAACACACATGATGACTCGCATTAGTCAAGACCAAACAAGCAACAACTACGTACCATCGGTTGTCAATTTTGTGTAAAATATATTCTTTGACAATTCTTAGTTTGCGGCAAATCAACTATTTCACCATTCCATCTAGGATTAGGAATAGGAATAAACCTAATGATAATTTGTTTTTTCAATATCTCTATTTGAAAGAATCGAGAGATAGGTATGATTGTCCATCTTTTCCATATTTTTATTTATCTATATATAAAGTATTCTCCAGATAATGAAACATAGAAGTAATCGGATGTCCAACTCGGGCCGATTAGTAGGAGAGGTTGTGGATAGGGATGGACTCGGGCCGGATGGCCCGACCCGGAACCGGCCCGGGACCGGTACTGTTCCGGCCCGGCCCAACCCGGTGGCCCGGTCAGTGACCGGTCCGGGTAGGCCCGGCCCGTGGGTTTCCGGTCCGGGCTCGGGTCACCCAAAACAAGGCCCGACCCGGCCAGGCCCGGGCCCGGTTCGGGCCAAAAACTATTTTTTTTTCCAATTTTTTTTACATTTTTGGGTTGGGCTGGGTATTTTGGGCCATTTGGGGGTGGTTTGGGGGGTTGGGGGTGGGAGGGGGGTTAATTAGGAAGAGGAAAACAAAAAAAAATATAATGGGCCCGGCCTGGCCCGGACCCGGTGGTTACCCGGGCCGGTCCCGGGTCCACCATTTCTGACCCGCCGGCCCGCCGGTCCGCCCGGGCCTAGGCCCGACCCGGACCCGGCCCGGACCCGAGTCCAACCCTGGTTGTGGATATACTTCTTGGTAATGGAATCCGTGGGCAACCATTGAGGGATAAGATAATGTTGACATTTATTCCTTCAACCCGCAGACCCAACACGTAACCTGGGGGTTTCGAATGGATGATGGACAAGTAGAGGGAGAAATAGCAGGAAATGGGCTTGATAACTGTGTTTACTTACTGAAAAATTGTTACAAGTCGAAGGGCCGAACGTACAATACAAGGCTACGAACTGATACTATTGCTAGAGTGCTAGAGTGCTAAATTGCGAACCCTTTACAGTGAAATAAATACTACTATTTATACTGTCAATGGGTGGTTGGACATGTTGACGTGGCAGGCTGTGGACGGCATGATCCCAACCACCAAATCTTTCTGCATTAAATGCGCTTCCCGCCAGAATCTTGGTTTCCCGCCATTGGGTGGGGACGTTCGTCCCCAAGGACTTGGCCCCTAACCCCTGCTGGAATCCCGATCTCCTGTCAATGGAAAAGGGGACGTTCGTCTCTATGCACTTGAACTATCCTTGATCTATTCTTGAGCCGCCCTTGGTACCCCATCGCGGGGTGGGGACGTTCGTCCCCGTATACCTCGTAGGGACCCTGGGCCTGGATGCCTGATGACAATAGAGCACGTACGTCTTCTGGCTCTTAGGCCTTGGTGTTGGCCGGTAATGGAGTACGTCACATAAATTACTACTATAAAAAAAACTGCAATATAAAGGAGACGTCACATAAATTACTACTATAAAAAAAAACTGCAATATAACGGCCGTTTGTTTAAGAAATAACCCTGATAAAAATCTCAAATATAACAAAATTATAGCTCCAAATAAAAACTCAAAAATTCTAGTTATCACCAGCAATTGTGATAACCACCTGGATCCAGGGATTTACTAAAACTTCAAAACCTCAATTATATAAAGTAATAACAATCTTTTTATTCTCACTGAAATACTGGAGTAAAATAAAACTAGCTAGAAGCCGCCAAGGTCGTTCCCGTTAACTCATCTTGGCACGCGTTCCACTCCCTCATCATATTCCTAGGCTTTGGCCTTACCCTTAGTATCTGTACATGCGAAGAAAGAAAACTGATAAGCTTTACGCTTAGTAAGTCACTATGGACCCACAAAAATATCTGAGAAGTCTATGCTAATTTATCAATAGATAAATTTAGACTATAAGCATGCACTGAACAAACAACTAACAAATAGCTTCTCGAATAAATTCTGAGAGATTCCAAAAGAAAATATTTTCTAAAATAATTTCTCAAAACTACTGGAGAGATCTCAAAATTTCTTTCTCAAAACACCTCTGTAAAACTTTCTGAAAGAGATCTCAAAAGCAACTTTCTCTAACACTTTCTGAAAGGGAATCTCATAGACTTTCTGTAAAACTCTTTGTGGCTAATTTTAACTGTGGGCCCGTGATATGTACTCAAAGGCGCCAATCCGACAGCTCAGGGGAGCGACCCACTAAACATATCGGACTCTCTGAAACTGATAAACTGATAATCTAAGGGAACTTGTTCCCAAGTACATATCACATGATCTTTCACTTTAAATATTAGTTCTTTTTATAGTGACGTTTGGGTAAAAACATCATTAAAATCTTGAAATAAGGTACTAACACAATCTTGACTATGCCAAATTATAAACATAACTTAATACAACAATTACAATAACTCAACAAATAATTCACCAAGCTCACATAATAGCAAATAGTCTAAAATCATCTACTAAAAATCAACCAGACTTCTTTCTTTCATTTAGTTGAACAAACATGTACAGGTGGTAGTGAACTTACCTGTAGAAGCTGAACTCAATTTACTCAATTATTAAGTGTGGCACCTTGATAACGTCTTCCAGTAAGCACTTCTTTGAAATCTTTAATTAAATATTAAATATAATATTACAATTAACTCATTATACTATAACCAGAGCTTAAATTGATGAACTTAATTGAACATCTATATTTTTGTTAAAAAGTGCTGACCCAAAAGATTAATACAATAGCCCTTTGCTATTACCCAAGCTAGTTATTAAAAATATAGGAACTATCTGGCTTTGTTGTTTTAGAAATCTGGCTAAGCATCGTGATTATACATTCTGGATACATGAAACAATGGAATTCTTCTATTTTTTAAAAAAATCTCCATGCATCAACTAATTACTTCCAGTCAATTAAGATTTAAGATCCTAAAAATTAAAACAAAACGAAACTAACGCCCCTCAAGATTAGAACTACTTATTTAAAACAACAACACAAGCTTAAGTTTCAGACGAATCAATTTTTTTAGATTAATACGCCTTCCAAAACTGTAAAGAAGTTTTTTTAAAAAAAAATTGAAAATAGCAGCAGCCAAACTGGTCTACGATTGAATTGAAATAAACCCAAGGTTAACACAAAATTTGCACTACGAAGCAAAACATTCTCAAAGAATTTCTGTGATAGTTTCAAAAACGAAGAATTTCAAGCAAAATCTTATAAAATTAACTACTCAAGGACGAATTATAATTAGATGGAAGGAATCAAGCTTACCCGACAAGAGATGCAAAGACAAATCTGATAAATAATCTGGTCGAATTAATGAAGAGTTGGAAAGAAAGCTTTCGGTGTCCACATGAAAAGAACCGCAGGTAGCGGCTAAAGAAGAGAGCCGATCCTCAAAGGTTTACCTCAAGGTTTGCGGATAGTTATATATCTTCTATTTTGCCTTTCTAGGGATTTCAGCCTTAAACACATTTATCTGGGCCAAATTAGCTGATTCGGGCCTCTAATTATCTTTAAAATAATTGTTTCTAAAACCATTTTTCTTTTTTTTTCAATAAAACTAATTAAACATTAAAACGTTTTTTTTTAACTTAACATTATTATGTTATCCGTTTTAGTAATATACTAATAATATGAAATATTAATTATTTCCTCACTTAAAATTATAAGAGTTTACCGGTCAACGTTACCTGCCAGAACAAAACGTGATCAAACAACAAATCACATTAGTCATAGAAGAAACTTATTTCACTACCTAAATAAATATTAATATTGATCAATATAACTAGCTCATAAAATCGGGGTGTTATAGTGGGGACGTTCGTCCCCGTATACCTCGTAGGGACCCTGGGCCTGGATGCCTGCTGACAATAGAGCACGTACGTCTTCTGGCTCTTAGGCCTTGGTGTTGGCCGGTAATGGAGTACGTACGTCTCCTGGCCCTTGGGCCTTGGTACTGGCTGGTAGCGGGGTACGTACGTCTCCTGATCCTTGGTACTTGGCCTTCTTCTTGGGCCCTTAATAGAACGTTCGTAGGTGATCCATCAGGGGTTGATGGGCCGGGCCTCATCGAACCATTAACCCAACACATAATAAAGTTTACAAGTCATTTTCAGATATAATTGAAGGCAAAGATGGAAAATTTCGTGAAACTCTACTTCATAGACTAGTTGATTATTGAGGATGTTCTATGATTGTTGTTGGCCTTTAGCTTTCATTACATCAATGTGGCCTGCCACATGACACACGAGTGACGAGTCTTGATCACTAGAACGGTCATCCAACGTGGTAAAAGCAAAGGTCCACAAGATCTCGAAAATCATTTCGCAGTTTTAACTAGGGGTGGGCATTTCGGTTTTCGGTTCGGTTTTATTTGGTTTCGGTTCGGTTTCGGTTTAATCGGTTTGATAGAAAATGTACCAAATACAAACCGATTAAATTTCGGGTTGGTTTCGGTTTGGTATGGTTCGGTTCGGTTTGGAGTTCGGTTTATCAAAGTATTAAGCTTTGGATTAATATAAAAAATTAACTCAAAATAATGAACCAAGAAGCGATAGTAATTAACCAAATATAATGTTAGATATAAATTTGCAAACAGTAACAAAACACATGTGAACCAAAAATATATAAGCATGACACATTTGTAAGCAACAACAACAACGAGAATTAATCAAATTATATATAAAGCCGAAACAAAAACAAAACTGATGCTTGTAAGTAATAAACCAAATATATAGTAGTAGTAGATAATAAATTATAGTTAAATACTATCTACTTAAACCACTATAATTGTTATAGTTGTGAATGTAACTCTTGTAGTAAACTCTAATCCTGGACACTAAAATTAAAGAATTAAAGCTTCAAAAAGATTAACATCAATCAAATTAATGAGAAAATCTTATATTTTGGTTTGGTTTGGTTTGGTGTAAGTTGGTTTTGATTTGTTATTTTAAAAAAATAAGAAATTATTTCATTTTTAGATTAGTTCGGTTTTATTCGATTTTATTCGGTTTTATGATTTCGGTTCGGTTTGGTTCGGTTTAATACGGGTTGGGAGGAATACTATCAAACTCAAACCAAATTACAAATGGTTCGGTTTCGGTTTGGTTTAATTCGGTTTGGTACGGTTCGATTCGGTCAAACCAAACCGTTATGCCCACCCCTAGTTTTAACCACATATTAGACCAAATTATCCAGACTAAGTCCGTGAAATTATTTTTGAAATAATATATGATTTGAGCAACGGTACGAAAGAGTTGGGAAGTATTTAAAAAAGACGATTTCAACAAAATAAAAGTATTTGATGAAATAGTATTGATATGAGCGATATTAATAGCTAGCTAAATTGACTTTTGGGTGATGGATTGTATATAGTTTTTATTTATATTACATATTGATCACCTACACCCCATATCTTTTGGGACTAAGGCTTGGATGTTGTTGTTGTTGTATTGATCACCTACAGCTGATATGAGCGACACCAAGCGGCAGAGGAAGAAGAAAGGGAAGTTATGGGTCATTGCTCCGGTTATACTTGCTGCACTTATTCTCATATGGACTATCTTTTGTTACGTCCAAAGGGAAATATTTATATCAAAAGGTAACTACCCTCAATAATAAACACTTTCCTATTTAAGAATTGTATACAAGTACGTACTCCGTATATGTTTTCCGAAAAATTCTAAAGGTACACACTTTTTGGTGTACACACTTTTTACACATGTCTGTGTAAGGTTTTTTTATGTCTGTACAGACATAAAAAAAACCTTACACAGACATGTGTAAAAAGTGTGTACACCAAAAGTGTGTACCCCAAGTCCAACTCATGTTTTCCTCCTATTTGGAGGACTTTCTTTATTTATTTATTATTAGGTGTAACTTACTTCATCAAGATTGAGATTCATTTTGTGTTATTTTTACTCGACTCGTTTCATTTTCTGACCATTTCGTATCAAATCGTATTATACTACTTCCGTTCTCTTTTAATCGTAACATTTGACTTTGCACTATTCACATATTCTACTTTGACTATATTTTATTAATTAATGTAATATAAATTAAATTTTTAAAAAATATTGTTAAATTCTTCTCTTTCTAAATTTTCAAAATATGAATTTTTTAAATTTTTTACTAATAAGAATGAAAGATATTAATGGTCAAATTTCTGTGTTGACAATCATGAAATGTTGACAGTTGCAATTAAAAGGGAACGGATTCACGGAGGAAGTATTAGATTTGATAGAATATTTAGCCTTGTCTCGGTTGAATTGATTTAAATTTAGGAAAAATTGATTGTAATAATCCCAACTATTGACGATCCGCTCATAATAATCCCAACAATCGATTATTTCAGAATAATCCCAACTTTATGGACCTTTCGCCAATAATTAATGGTCCGACGTGACCAAAGATAAATAAATTTCTATAGTTTCTAAAGAGATATAACATGTAATCCCTATAAATAATCCCAAATTTTAATTTTTACGCTCAATTTCTATTAAAAGTTCACTTGTTAGAGCAGGTAATATGCGTTCATGGACCATTATTGGCGGACGGTCCATATAGTTGAGATTATACAAAAATACTCAATAGTTGTGATTATTGTTAGCGGACCGGCAATAGTTGAGATTATTATTTTCAATTTTTCCTTAAATTTAAATTGAACTAGATTAACTCTTGATTTTGGGTAACTAAAATGAGATGTAGCCAACTCTAGATTTGAATTATTAAACCTGTGTTGACAAGTTTTCTGAAAACAATTGTTTATACAGATGCAATATAACTATTTTTTGATCGCGCATGCAGGGCATTTGGGAAAAGTAAGATCTTGGATAACAAGAACAAAAATCTCACACGTAGGGGGATTGAATTCTTCTTCTTCTCCTAATCTGCAAGTTTTCAGGTTTAGTAGCATCAAAGCTGCCACAAAAAACTTTGCAAGTGAGAACATGATTGGCCACGGTGGATATGGACCTGTCTACAAGGTAATTAAGTACCACCGGCTGCCTGGCATCTCATTTTGTTCAAAAATTAATTAAATAACTGTAATTATGTGCTAACACTTCTATTATACGAGTATTATTTAATTTGTTCTTTGTTACATATTAACATCCTTAAACTGGGGTAAGTTTCGACCCTATAACTCCCTCTGTGAGAGTGTCACAATGATATCATCGAATCATAAGGTGCTTAATTAACGGATTAAATAACTATTGGTTAGATTTTCTATCAAAGAGTATCAAAGAGTACAATCGATCGCGAATAGAACTGTTAACCCTTTACAAAAGCCAATTAAACTTCAACTCTAAGATCTAACTAAGAGGTCAACTATCTTGTTGCTTAGGGGGTCAATCTTTCAAATGCCATTTTAATCAAGGAAAATGTCATTATTATTGAAAAAATATTGGGGAAATTGCTCTAAATAGGAGTAAGTAAGTTTTGGAATTCTAAAATATGACCGCTATGTTTTTCTTCCCGAAATATGAGTCAGTAATGTCATGATTGAAAAATACTAACATTAATGATAGTAAATACACTGTCATGCTCAATGCCTAGTACTCCAACTATTTGACAGTAAATCCTGTTATGTTACTCCTATTTTAGGAAGAAAAACATATAGTAGTCATATTTTGGAATTTCAAAACTTGTTTACTCCTATTTCGGCAACCTTTTCAACAAATATTACTCTACCTACGATAGTTTAGAAGTATTGTCTAAAAAATCTATGAACAAATAGTACAAGTCACGAACCAGCTTTTGGAATCTAGGCATGCGATATTAGCTAAGGTGGCGATGACGTAAGACCTAAAAATGCGTGTATCTAGAACATTCACGAAACGACTAAGTATGAAATTTGTAAACAAGCTGAGGCGGATCAAGTCCGGTCGATCTCATCCGGTAGCACCCGTGCAAGACCCGCAGTGGCAATCATCAGGCTCGGCCTTGCTGGAGTTGCTCGATCCAGCGTGGAATGAGCTTGCCAGCGCGAAGCTTGACTTAAGATGAGGTCTTGGCTTGGCGTAGGGCCTTGGCCCGCCAGGTAAATGCCTTGGACTGCTATATTGGACCTTCTTGTCTGGGCTTTTGAGGTATATGACAATATATTTCAGCAACGCTAAACCCTTTGTGTTATAACTAAGTGGGCATATATCACCCTCAAGCAAGAAATTTAGAAATTTAAAAAAAATACTTTGTCATAATGTCACGATTAAATATGCAAGTAAATTTATCAAGATCTCTAATAAATTGCACAAAATACTAATCATTTCTTTTATCCGAGGGATTAATGGGGTCGAGGGTTGGGGAGAGTCTGGGGTTAACAGGGCTTAAGTAATTATATGGAATTATTATTTAGTTTTTATTATTTGTATTATTGTTTATTTAGGCACTTAACTAATGAGTTATGCTAGAGGTACAAAAACTTTTACAAAAAGTCTTACAAAAAGGGTATGTGGCATCATCACATTATTTAACACATCACATCACATTTACAACACTTTTACATCAATGGTAATTAGAATAGCCACATCACTTGTTTGTAAGTTTTTTTGTAAGTGTGTTTGTACTTCTAACATTTTTTTAAACTAATACATATGACTAAGACAGGGTAAGTTACGAAAGGGGGAGGAAATAGCAGTGAAGAGACTCTCAAAGAGCTCAAGCCAAGGGATTGAAGAGTTCGAGAATGAGGTCACTCTTACTGCTAGCCTTCAACATGTGAATCTACTTCGAGTCATTGGAATTTGCACCGAGAGGGAGGAAAAAATGCTCATTTATGAGTTCATGCCTAACAAAAGTCTTGATTTCTACCTCTACAGTAAGCATCCGATTCTTGATTCATTCAATTCATTTAGGTTTTGAGAAGTTACAAATATGCCTTAAACTACATATTAGAGAATAAATAAACCTTCCAACTTTCATTTGGAGCAAATATGCTCTTACGTAAATTGTTAAAGGAGTGTGATTTAGAGTTAAGTAGTTATATATGTTCTTTAATATATAATTCAAAAGTATATAGATATTCCGAATTTAAAAGATATGTATTTAATTGTCCAAATGAGAGTATAATAACTCGCACACATTAAACAAATACTATAACAGACTTGAAAGTCTAGTAAAAAAAACTATCACACGTAAAGATGCATAAAATTCAAATGTATTTTTGTTTATAGTCACATTTAAACTACATGTGTATTGTGTAGATTTTAAATTAGCCACAACAATTTGCAATAAAACGATTTTTGATCATTGTAAAATTTTATGCAGCTGATCAAGCAAAGGAGGATTTGTTAGATTGGAGAAAACGTGTTTCAATAATTGAAGGTCTCGTTCAAGGGCTTCTATATCTCCACGAGTACTCAAATTTCACTATAATTCATCGAGATATTAAGGCAAGCAACATTTTACTAGATGAGGACATGAACCCAAAAATTTCAGATTTTGGAATGGCCAAATCTTTCAAAAAGGATGGTCTTGAAGCCTACACCGCCAGAATTGTTGGAACTTAGTAAGTGAGCCTTCCTAAGTACTGTCAAATTAATACTAGAATGAAGGGTTGAATGATCAAATTCCTTTTGCTCTATGTTAATTATTAGTTTCAATAGTTAAATCCTGTATTTTTTAAGGGAAAGATCTACAAACTCACTTTTTTCCTCAAACACACATCTAACGGATTTATCATAAAAATGAAAGCAGGGCCGGTCCTGTCATTTTGTGGGCCTATGGGCGAGAAGCTAAGTTGGGTCTAAATTTATAAGCTAAACATAGATTATAATAAAACTACCGAATAATTGAATAAAGGTAAAAAAATAAAGATGAAATTCACTTTATTAATATTTAAATAACATGTTTGATGAAAGGTAACAAGTATCACATAAAAAGAAAAATATTACTTAAAAACGTTTCTCGCCGAACACTGTGAAGCAAAATCATCAATAATTGCTTCATAATCAACATTTTCCAAGACTTCATGCTCAATGCTTAAAATTGCTAATCCATTCAGCCTTTCTTGAGACATAGTCGATCGCAAATGATTCTTCAGTATCTTCAGCTTTGAAAAACTTCTCTCCGCTGTGGCAACGGTCACATGTATTGTCAACAGTATTCTGTAAGCAATTGTTGTATTCGGATAACAACACAAGTTCTTCACAAAATCAAGAATTTTAATGGCTGTGTCCCTATCATCCGGAAAAATTGAAGGCTTGCGCCTTGCCGTAACAATTGAACGGCCAGTCGATTTGAAACCTTCTCAATCAGTTATCACTTAGGCAACCTTGAACAATTGAACCTTCGTTACTTGATTTCAAAATTGAAAACAAACAAAACAAAAAACAATGAAGTGGCCGGCCAAGTGGGTTATTGCCTTATTGGGATTTGGGAGTTTAATGTTTGGGAATTGAGATGGGCTAGATGGGAGAATTTGAAGTGTTCGGTAATACGGAGTACGTAATAGGTACTTAGGTAGTTTAGGGATTTGGGTTATTGGGCCACTGGGGTTTGGGAGGGACACATTACATTCCTTTTATAATTTTTTATAAAGTTTCATTTATAATTTTAAAATTATGAACAAAATTAAATCATGGGCCTAATTAAATGAGTTTTAAAATACAAAAAAGATTATAAAAAAAAAGATTATTCAAAAAAAATACAAAAAAGAGTCCTACTCACGCTATATATAAAGAAAAAATTTTGGGCCTATTTTTTTTTTTGCTATTTTTTCGGGCCTAGGGCAGTTGCCCCTGTTGCCCCCCCTAGGACCGGCCCTGAATGAAAGTAATATTGGTAAAAAAAAGTTATGATCTAACTGTCTGAGTAAGAAAAATTGGATTATCTAATTCTTGTTTTGACAAAAAATGAAGTTGGCTTGAAAGGATTCCTGCCAGTACAAGGTTGCACCGATGAGAATTATCTAATTATGTATTTCATCATTGGTTATTTTTAAGGGTAATTTGAGTTTGCACCCCATTTTATCGTCCAAATTGGACCTTGCATCTCATTTTTTAAAAAATTTATTTTTGCGCCCCCAACCCCATATGAAAAGACAAAAATGCTCTCGATAAGGAATATGTTAAAGACAAAAATGCGCAAAAATTTATTTTTGCGCCCCCAACCCCATATGTTAATGGAGGGGCATTTTTGTCTTTTCATATGAGGTTCGGATGCAAAAACAAAGATTTTCAAAAACGGGGTGCAAAATCAAATTTGAACAATAAAATGGGGTACAAACTCAAATTACCTCTTATTTTTATCAACTAAGAGATACTCCGTATTTAACTTAATTAATTCTATGCAGTGGCTATGTTCCTCCTGAATATGTGAAGAAAGGAACATACTCTTTGAAGTACGACGTTTATAGTTTTGGAGTTGTGCTTCTCCAAATTATAAGTGGGAAGAGAACTTCTGGGTTTTATGGGTGCAATGAATTAAATCTTCTTGAATATGTAAGCAAGCAGCTGTAATTTGACTCATCCCTGCCCCAAATCATTTTTATAACTTATTTATTGTTTCATGTTAAATTATCCTATATTAAACGAGATTGATATTTTAGCATGAAACTTCAAGTTTTAATATGCTATTAGAAGTTTAGAACATACCAACAAGTAATCTAATGAAACACAGAGTCTTAACATTGCAAATGCGAATACTAATATGCTAAGAAAAATGTATGAATATTGATTAATTCCACAGAGTTTTTATTAAGCTCTCCCACACCAGTTGCGTTTAGAAATACAAACTAACATATAAAGTCTTGTGCTACTCATCCTAACAGACTGACCTTTTAGGATGAAACCTCAAGTCTTAATAGTTTTAATATGCTAAAAATTCCACAGGCATACGAACTGTGGAAGCAAGGGGAAGCGACAGAATTTTTCGATGCATCGTTGGATGATTCTTGTACGGAATGTAAGATGTTCAGATGTATGCAAGTGGGACTGTTGTGTGTGCAGGAAGATGCAGGAGATAGGCCATCAATGGTGGAAGTTTTTGCACTTCTAAAGAATGAGAATGGTGTTGCAATATCTACTATACCCAAGAAGCCCGCCTTTTCAGTAACTTCAAGGGATGAAAGAAGCCTAGATGATGATAATGGCAGTAATGAGAAAATATTTTCAGTCAATCTTACTACCATAACCCAACTGGTACCTCGCTAAATTAGGGACACTTCAATAGTTCAATTCATGTATTGATTCGGATATAGAGTTTTTAAAGAGCATTGGAATTGTATAGTTTTGTAACAAATCTGACTATTGGAGGTAAAAGCTATACTTTTACTGCTTTGGCAAGCTTTTTCTTTCTTTGAAAGTGAAAATTTGAGTGACTTTATCCATATTGTGGGGTAAATAAATTATTTTCATATTGATAGAGCCAGAGCAGGGCTGATCATGTTTTTTTGATAGACCAAAAGAGTGATTGGTACACGCCGGACCCCTATCGGTTGCATAGTCGTTTGGTCTTCGGTCCAAGAATTTTATCAACTCCGGTTCCGATTCCAAATCCGGAATATTCTAATCGGGGCCATTGGATCGGAATTAAAATATTATATATATATATATATATATATATATATATATATACATATAGGAAAAAGATCATGTCCATCTGGATGGACAGGAGGCGTCGTGCGGCCGCCGCCGTTTGGGGCGGTTCCCGATGGAGTTTTCTAATGAATTTTTTTGAGCATATTCCTTATCAAATCTAGTTTATTAAAAAAAATCAGCCAAAAATACGATCCGGAAAGCAGTGAAATACATTTTTGAAAATAGTTACGTTTTATATGTATAATTTGGCGCAGTTATCTTCAACAAATTATTTGACTGTCTTACCGATCGATTTTTTAGCTGATTTTTTTTTGTGGAAAAATTACACTTGATGAGGAATATGCTTAAAAATATTCATCAAAAAGTTTCACCGGTAACCTTCCACAAAGGCGACGGCCGGATGGAGGGCACTATATATATATATATATATATATATATATATATATATATATATATATATAGTAATCTTTCAGTCGGGAATTCCTGATCGGAACCGTCATTCGGACGATGGCATTTGGGCCCCTCTCCAGTACATTTTTCTATGAATTTTTTTGGGCATATTTTTCATCAAGTCTAGTTTATCCTTAAAAAAGTTCAACTAAAAATTCAATCGGCAAATGCATTAAAATAACTTTTGGAAGATAATTGCACCAAAATATACATATAAAAACGCAGTTATCTTTAAAAAATTATATGACTGCCTTCCAGATTGAATTTTTAGCTGAAATTTTTTATGATTAAACTAGATTTGATGAAGAACATGCCCAAACAATTTCATCAAAAAATTGCATCGGGATTCGGGAGTGGTCCAAACGCTACCGTCCGAACCGCGGTATAGGTCCGGAATTCCAGACCTGAACATTGTCTATATGAGTACTCTTCCGGTCAGGAATTCCTGACCGAAACCGCCGTCCGGACGATGACGTTTGGCCCCTTCCCGGTGTATATATGTATGTATTAAAAACTGGGTATATGTATGTATATACATATTTAAAATATAAAATTTCAATTGATAAGTGATAAAAATGGTAGAATCTATATACTTTAGGCATTAACACATTATTTACATATTTATACTAGTAAAAATTTGTAAATCTATTGACTAACTCTCTCTGAGGGAAACACTAATATCATCAAGAGAAGAGAACAGTCAACGGAAATACCCCCGTAAGAATTCGTCAAGAAGAAAAAATGGCGGCTCCAAATTATATCCATAGGTACATCCGTACATAATCAAGTAGTAGATTGCTTCCAAAAATATCAAGAGACCATTTTAGCTATTTTCATTTAATTTTTTCTTTAATTCATTAATGTAATACTCCTTATATTTTAAATACGATTTCTCAATTTAGTAGACTCGGTTAATTCAACAGCTGATGGATAGTCTGCCCGGGGGTATATATCCGAAGGGTTATTACGGGGAATAACTTAGAGAGAAGTCAGAGCATGTAAGTAAAAGTAGAGAGAGAGTGTATTCAGTATGAGTGCCGTTTTCAGCGTGGTTACAAATGCCGGGCAGGGACACGTGTCAAGCGCTTATTGGCCGAGGGGTCATCTCAACTGGTTGGCGCTGACAGCCGCATGTGGCCGCATTTAATGTGGCTGTTGGATGGGACGTCTGTGCGGGGTACGGTGATCTGTACGCATGTGAGGCGGATATCTTGTCGAGTGAGATGCCTTCGGCTATAGAGCAGTAGCCGAGGGGTCTTCCACCCGATGGCACCCTGGTGCTGAGGGCTCACAGTGCCGAGGGCTACTGTTTTCGCCGTTTTCTCCCAGTTTCTTAATTTGCTTGAGAAACCCGTTCTGTGAGAATTTGGAGCCTTCGGCCAGGGGGCCGAAGGCACCCCTGGCGCGTTGTGCGGGCTGCTTGGTACTCTGGGCGTTGTGATTTGGGCCTGTTGGGCCTGTTGGGCCTGTTGGGCCTTCGCTGGAGTAGTAGGAGTCTGTGGGCCGGGGGTTCCCGGGCCATATACTCCATCAGGAGTCCCTCACTCCTTTTGCCGAAAGGTACTTGAGGGAAAAGGAGTAATTTGTGCTTGCCCTTTGATGTTGTCCCGTCGTGATCTCTGAAGTTGGTGAGGAGTTGTTGCTTTTATGTCCCTGCCGAAGGCAGTCCCTCAGTTACCCACATGTCGGGACTTGAGGGCTTGCTTTGTTGTTTGTTGGAGTTTCTACATCTTTTGTAATTTAATGACTTTCCCGAGGCGGTCCTCCTCCAGTCCCCCACTCCTTGAGGCACTTGTAAAGTGGTGAAAAGGAGTAGAGTAGTTGCGTTGCTGTTGTGGGCCGAAGGCTGTCGTTTTTTCGTTTCATTTTGGGGGGATGCCTCGTTAAAAACCTCATTAGGAAAAACCCTTTGGGAAAAAATCCTAATGAGGGAAAAAGAGTGCACCGAATTCCCCCAATGATGAATCGAAAATGTCAAACCTTAGTATAAAGTGAGGAATGACGGGAATGCCGAAGGCTCTCTCTTCTGAGGGCTCCTGTGTTGATTAGCCGAAGGCTTGCTGTTGATGTCCTGGTAGCGTCGAAGGGGAGCCCCTCAATTCGGGGATCGAGGGCCTGCTGGATGAGGGCGATAATGGAGTTGTTACCGGGGGGTCCACTGTTTGTTGATTAGTTGGTGATGAAGATACCCGAGGGCTCCCATTACCTGTGTGCCATGGGCCATCCGTCAATGAGGCACTCCCCGGGGGCTACCCGGTTTTGCAGTGCTGAGGGGGAATCCCCGAGGGGTGCCCTGATATGAAGCCTCGGGTTTCTGAAGGAGTGATCCCGAAGGCGACTGTTATGTGCTGTGCGGGGCACAACCCGGGGGCACTTCTGAGTGAGTGTACCCGGAGGCTATCCTTGATGAAGAGGAGTGAAGTAGAAAACCCGGGGGCTTCCAGAATATAGTTGTTGGAAATATAGCCGTTGGAATATGTAACGACAGGATATAGCCGTTGGGGGGGTGGCACACGTGGCGTGTGATGGCTGGCTGTTCGTGGGCGGCGTCACCGGTTGGGTGAAACGACGGTGTGTAATGATGACGGTCCGTCCGGAGGCCCGGAATCCAGGCCCAAGCCCGGATTCCGTCGCCTATAAATACCCCAAGGCCAGGGCCATTCCCCGCTGTGCGAACTCAGTTGTCTTAGCGAAGCTCTGCCAAAAAATCTAGTGAGAGAAACTCAGGCCTTCGGTCAGAACTTCTGCTTTCAAGGTCAGTGCCCGCTTTCCCTTCACCTCTTAGCTACTTGTACTGTGCCCTTAGGTTAGGAGATAGAAAATTTAGAAAACACTAGCGTCTACGAGCCTTCGAACTAGAGTCAGTATGTCATCCCAGAGTGATTCTCAAGATATCTCGGGGGCGCCCTCGGTGGAGGATGAAGTCCTCTCGGACGTGGAGTCCTCAAGTGCAGAGTCCTCGGTGGGACAGGATGCCGTCATTTCCCTGGAGTTGCAGAAAGCCCTCGTAGCTGAGGCGGAGGCCAAGGGCTTTGAGCAAGAATGTGAGGACGAAGAGTTGGCCATCGCCTGGCAAGCAGCTGAAGAGGAGGCACAAAGAGAAAGCGAGAGGGTCACCGTTGCTGTGCTCCCCCCTCGGGGTGCCGGGGAGGCCAGCACCTCTCGGCCGCTGAATGCGGTCCCCCTCCGGGTGGCCCCCGGAAAGAAGAAGGCCAAGGCCGCTGTTCCCAAGAAGAAGGGCAGCGTAGCAGATCAAGGGAAGCCCCTCGATATGCCCGAGGGGTACTCCTATCTCAACACCGCCGCATTGGAGATCAAGTCGAAGGTTGATGCGGCGGACATCTATGTCACCCAGCTTCACGTGGGCCCCTCGGCCATCGTGGTGACACCGGGTCCGGATGACGTTCTCTCCCGGGATCCCGAGGGCTGCATTGCGGTGCACGTCCTCTCAGTATCCATGGGGCTCCGCTTCCCCCTGCACCCCTTCCTCCGGGAGTATCTTCGGTTCGTCGGTCTGGTTCCCTGCCAGTTGACCCCGAACAGCCATTCTTATATCACTGGCTTCCTTCAGCTTTGTAAGTCCCGGGGGGTGACGCCTAGCCTGGACCTCTTCTTCCAGAGCTTCAACCTGTGCCGGGGGGGGGGGGGGGCACGCGAATGCCGAGGGATTCGCCAATCTGCAGCAGGTGTCCGTGTTCAAACTCTTCACTGAGGCGCCCTCCTCGAACAAGGGGTGGAAGGACCGGTGGTGCTATGTGAAGCTAGCCGAGAGCCCCTTCCCGAGGGAGCTGCGTGACCGCTTCAGGAGGCACGAGAAGAGGAGGAGCGCCGCCCTCGAGAAAGATGGCAGGATCCTGGCCATGATCCCGGAGGGCCGGGACAAGAATATCTCCATCAAGGATTGCACCAAAGAAGCAGATCTCTACACCCTCGGATTCCGGCGGTACCGGTTCCTGGGGGAAACTGATGAGAAGTTCCCAGTGTTTGAGGGAGCCTCCGGAGGTAGTAGCTGAGGGCATTCTCACCCTCATATCTTAGCACGTTTGTTCATTTGTTTTGTTAATTCTTTATGCCACTTAGTAGTGACCCCTCGATCCTAACCCCTCATTTTTTTGCAGGTGTTCCAGTAAGTATGATGAACGTCAAAGGCCTCGCCCGATTCAAGAACAAACCGGCAAAGGATCCGAAGGGGCCGGACGCTGGTGGCCAAAAGCCCGTCGGTGCGCCTCCCAAAAAGCCCGAGGGCGATGCTGCTGCGGCTAAGAGAAAGCCGTCGGCAAAGGAGCCCCCCCAAGCTCCCAAAAATTTAAAGAAGGGGGATGCCGCGAAGGATGACCCCCCGGTGGTGATTGTAGATGACCCTCCGGAGATG